AGGGTCCTGGATCCTTGATCAATTTATCAGTGAAAATATTAATTATATTAAAAAATATTCTGCTTAAAACTGGAAGGCTAGTAATCACATGACAAAGTAGCTTTTGATATATGCAAAAATGTTATTAAGCAGCTCCTGGTAACACTGTTAAGTATTTTATAAAACACATATTTTAAAAACCAACAGTTACCAAATTATCTTTTCTTTTAAAGGTATCAGGTACTATTCTTTCATCTTTATTTGAGAGAGAGAATGAGAGAGAGCATGAGAGGGAGGAGGGTCAGAGGGAGAAGCAGACTCCCTGCCGAGCAGGGAGCCCGATGGGACTCGATCCCGGGACTCCAGGATCATGACCTGAGCCGAAGGCAGTCGCTTAACCAACTGAGCCACCCAGGCACCCCCTATTATTTCATCTTTAGATATATTTCAGTTGAACTGTGGATATTCTCAGTAAGATAAACTGCTTCCTAAAAGGGGGAAATATCAAGACATATCCTATTTTACTTAAAAAAAAAAAATTTAAATTAGTAAATGTTAAAGTTTGATTAGAAATTAAGTATGGCTTTGGACTCTTTTTTTCCTGGTCGACAAAGCCTACAACAATCTGGACCCCCTCCATCTCCTTCAAGTTGTAACTCAGTGATTGGTCACTGTCAATTCTGAACCTACTACTTTCTATAGGACCAGATGAAAACCGTTAAAAATGTTCTTTTGCGACTAGTTGTATTAGAACAGTAAAACAGCCAGTGTTTACAATGTTTAAGATGGAAACTGATACAATGTTTAAGATGGAAAAAAAAATAAATGCAAGCCTTAACTTCAAGGGAGATAAGTAACGAAGGGAATTGACCTTTAGAGGCATTTTCCAACCAATGTTCTATCTTGAGCTCTCACTCACTGTCTAACGATTCCTCAAGGACGAAATCTTAAAACATGTCAAAGTACCACAACACAAAGCAAAGTCTTCTTTCTGCCTGAGACAATTTAGGCTTCACTTCCGTCACGGTATCGGCCACATGAAATGCACATTTGCACTGTACGGCCTTTCACAATCGTTTCAGTGTTCAGCACTGAGATCGCCTACTGAAGTATTCAGAAAAGCACCTTCATTTATGGCTTTCCCCCGAACCGACCTCCGGGCAGAGGTGAAATGCCGGGGCGTCCCGACCTTCATACAATGTCAGGCTGCCCTAGGTCGCTTCAACTAGAGCTACCAACAGTGCTCCGACCTTCAGCGGGGCAGTCCCGGAGAACCAGCCGGGACAAGCCTCGCCATTCCAGAGCAGGGGTCGGAGACCTAGCGCCCCAGCCCTGACCTTCAACCAAGGCCCCCTGTCGGACAGCTCTCAAGTGAAGTCGTGAACACCCCCTGAGGCCCCATCTCTGCACAGCATCGAGGTCACCACCTCCCCTGCACCGCTCAACACCGTCCCGCACGGATGGCAAGCAACAGTGCCCTTGCGCCGCCGCCCAGCCCAAGGCCGAGTAGCCAGAGGTGCAAGATGGCGGCGCCCGCCAGCCCCTCACCCTCCATGAAGCAAGAGCTCTCGAGTCAGTACATCACCAGCCACCCGCCGGGCCACCTCCCTTCCGCCGGTTCCCCGCACTCACCAGCCCGGCCCGCCGAGGGAGGGCGCGGGCCACGGCCGCGGCGACGCGCACGGACAGCATCTTTGCAGGTTCTCCTTGGGTGGTTCCTCTGCAGCCGCAGCCTCTGGACTGACTGGGACAAAATGGCTGAGCGGCGAGGAAGGTCAAGGCAGCATCCCACCTGACCCGGAAGTACCGCCCCTCGCGTTCACTCCCGGATGCGAATCTGCCTTTTGCGAGAGGGTTGGGGAGGAGTTACCTTTTAAAGTACAGTTTTTAGATTTAAAATTAAAAATGAGCAATTAGACCTTTGTCAACTTCGACCCAGGCTTTCGTTACAGATTTATTTTGACCTACCGAGTTGACCTTGTGGTTGCCCCTGGCGACCATGTGGGTAGCGGAACCCCCTACAAAGAGGCTCTCAGGCCCAGTCCCGGCTGGGGACCGTGTAGGTGTCACCCTGTACTAGGACGCAGCTTGTTTGAAGGTGACGGGAGGCCGATGTTGTGGGGTCCGAGACTACAGCTTTTTTTTTTAAAGATTTATTTATTTGAGAGAGAGAGTACATGAGAGGGGGGAGGGTTAGAGGGAGAAGCAGGCTCCCCGCTGAGCAGGGAGCCCGATGCGGGACTCGATCCAGGGACTCCAAGATCATGACCTGAGCCGAAGGCAGTCGCCCAACCAACTGAGCCACCCAGGCGCCCCGAGACTACAGCTTTTAAAGCCTTGTAGCAAAGTAAACGGTTATCACCGGGGGCTTGCCGAACTGGTTAATCCGTAGATCGCTGGCCCCACCCCCAGACTCTCTTAAAGCCGAAAATTCGGAGCAATCTGAATTTTTGAGAGGCGCCCACACCATTCTACGTGATCCGTTACGCACTCAAGTTCGAAAATCGCAGTTCTTTTAGATTCTATCTAAATGAAATCTGTATATTAGAACAAATTGTTTAAAAATGGTAACAAACACAAGTTCAAAAAGAGTGGTTGCCAATTCTACTGAGAATGGTGCAGAATCAGAAGTCTCACCCCAGACTGAACCAGGATTCAAGGTTTCCTCTACCAACAACTAGTTTCAGGACAGCAGGGACTATGCTTTTACATTTGGAATAAAATGGGGGCGCCTGAGTGTCTCAGTCGGTTGAGCCTCAGCCTTGGGCTCAGGTCATGATTCCGGTGTCCTGGGATAGAGTCCCCCATCGGGCTCCCTAATCAGTGGGGAGTCTGCTTCTCCCTCTACCCTATTCCCCTGCTGGTCTGCTTATGATCTCTCGCTCTCTCTCTCTCTCTCTCTCACCCTGTCTCTCTCAAATAAATAAAATCTTTAAAAAAATGAATTTGGAATAAAATGGAAATGATAGAGATGCCTAGGTGGCTCAGCTGGTTGGTTAAGCATTTGCCTTCCGCTGAGGTCATGGAGCCTGCTTTTCCCTTTCATGCTGCCGCTCCCCCTGCTTATGCTCTCTTGCGCACGCTCTCTCTCTCCGCCAATAAATAAAATCTTCAAAAAATAATAAAATACAATGGAAAGGATAAAGAAAAAACACCTTCCTATACCAACACATTAACATTGGGGCAGAACTCCCTCACCCATACACACACAGAATTTTTGCGATACTGAGATTTTTATGATATGCACAGAATTGTTGGGGGGGATATTGGGTGTCTTATCTGATTTATACCCAAAACCTTAATTTGGGTGGAGCATATGAATATCTGGATTAAAAGGGTCATGTCCTAAAATATAGCTTGCAAATGTATTGTCAGCAATCCCTTCTCTAATATTCTATTCCATTTTCAAGGTGAGCATCCTTCTCCTTATGGGTAAATACAGGCTAACAGGAAAAAAAAATGGTTTGTAAAAACGGAAAGGTTGGAGGGGTATTTTGTGAAATTTGTAGTGATGAAAGTGGACAAAGGGCATAAAGATAACTTTTCCCCCATACTCAGGGGCTGTACCAACTTACTTGAAATTTGGTTACTGAGCAGAGACACATTTGACTAAAACAAAAATAATAAGCAAGCCATACAATATGGTATTGGCTAGTTAGTAAAATTCTTTTGGAAAAAAAAAATTTCATCATTTTAAATATGCATATGACTTAGAAGAAAGATTTAGTGCTAAGAGTAATGCCCAGTTTGATATTAAACCACATATATCAGACTATTGAGTACATGGTCTATGTTTCCTGATGTTTCACGGTATACCACAGGAGGCTGCAGTCAGCAGTGTGGTCTAACTAGCTTTCAAATATAAAACATTCAGAGCCAGAACATTATGGTCAGACTCTAGCTCTACTACCTAATCTTGGTCAAGTCACTTACTCTGTGTGTGTGTGTGGTTTTTAATGTGAAAATACATAGAATAATATGGTCATCTATTTTTACAGGGTACTGTAAGAATGAAACTAAAATAGGAAAACATAGAAAACTACACATTGCTGTCTGTGTAACTAAAGAGAACCTCTCCTAGTGTTAAATACGGTGATGGAGGGAGAACTTTAGGGAAGGCAAGAAATGAACGAAGAATGGCTGAGTGGCAGTGACAGGGCCAGCAGTTGGATGGTGTCAACTGTTTTTTCTTTCTTTCTTTTTAAAAGATTTTATTTATTTATTTGACAGAGAGAGACACAGCGAGAGAGGGAACACAAGCAGGGGGAGTGGGAGAGGGAGAAGCAGGCTTCCTGCAGAGCGGGGAGCCTGATGCGGGGCTCCATCCCAGGACCCTGGGATCATGACCTGAGCCGAAGGCGGACCCTTAACGACTGAGCCACCCAGGCGCCCCTGTTTTTTTTTTTTTCCCTTTAAGTTTTATTTATTTAAGTAATCTCTACACCCCAAGAGGGACTTGAACTCACAACCCAGATCAAAAGTCCCACTCTTCTGTTTGAGCTAGCCAGGCGCCCCAACTGTCAACTATTTTAAAACAGTCTCCAGAAAAAAAAAATAAATAAATAAATAAAAATAATAAAATAAATAAAACTGTCTCCAGCACATGTAGCTCTTTGATAGTGGAAACTAAAGGATAAGACTGCTGCAGCTCCTATTGCTAGGGTAAAAATAAAAATTTTAAGTCAATGCACTCCTTGTGGAAGAAACAAATATCTGCTATCCAAAAAACAAGTTTCAGGTATTTTTTTAAGACAAGTGATTCAAGTCAAAAATAAAAATATAAGAAAGAAAAAAACAGCCTGGTTCTAGACGGCTGTTCTTCTCCTCTAGGAAATGATACCACCGAGAGCAGAGAGAGCCCCGAGGCGGCAAGCTCGTGGTGCTGGAGTTTTGGACCAGCCTTGCCCAAGGACTCGGAGGCCCCCTATCCTAGTAAAAACTACAACTCCCAGAAATCCCGGGCCCAGAAGGGGGCGGAACCAACGGTGTGTAGGCGGGGCCTTCAGAGCTAGCTGTGAACTTCTCCCGCGAGGAACTTCTCGAGAAGTGGCGGGAGCGGCGGCTATGGAAGCACAGGAAGAGAAAGAAGCGCAGGTGATGGGGCGGGATCGGGGATTTGTGGCCTCCTGGAGACGGCATCTTTGACAAACTCCCCCCGTCCGCGGATCGTCTGGGCACACCATGTTTACTTTTTTCCTACTCCTACTCTGCTGGTCCATCTTTGGTCCCGCCTTCACGACCTGCGAGCCCCACTCTGCTTAGACCCCCGGGAAAGGGTGTTTCCCTTCCTTCCCGGGGCCCTCGTTGCTTGGACTCAGGCTTGGAGAGCGGTTGAGGAGCCTCTTGGTACGAGAGACCTCTCAGCCGACTGGAGTGGGACTTCCGAATCCAAAGCCACTTTCCAGCCAAGCCTCACCACCGTTCACTGCTGCTTCCTAGTAGGATTTTCACACCTGACCTTCCTCATCCTGCATCCCTACTCTAGGTGCCTCTGGGTACAGCGGGGCTTTTGGTGTGTTGAGGGCAACTCTTTTTTCAGACTTTGCACGTATAAATATGCTTTGGCACCTTCATACTGAGCTTAAAATCATTCGAGTGATGCAAATTATTAGCCTATACCGCTTTGTGGCTTTAGGGAAGGGTAGATTGTCTTCTGATTTTGTTCATTGGGCTTGCTCACTTGTTTCCTGACATCGGGTTATCTATCTCCGTAAAGACAAATTATAATGTGAAGTGAGTAGGTTGCCAGAATATTTCTAGAGAACATTTTGTTTGCTTCTGATCAGTTCTTTCTCATATTTGCTTCATGCTATTACAATAAACAAGGCTTATAATACTTGCTTTTCTTTTAATGGTTAGGTTGCTGCGTGGTTGAAAAAAATATTTGGAGATCACCCCATTCCGCAATATGAGGTGAATGCTCGGACCACGGAGATTTTACATCACCTTTCAGAACGCAACAGGGTTCGGGACAGGGATGTCTACTTGGTAATAGAGGACTTGAAACAGAAAGCAAGTGAATATGAATCAGAAGGTAAGATTAATTACAGAATTTTGAATGAGCTAATAACTTGAGGTAACTACATTTTATAACACCAAAGAATACAAAATTAATTTAGTGTAGACTGCTTGTTAGTTTTGCTTCTTATTTCACCCAGATTTGCCTCCCACTCCGTTATTATAGCAACTTAATAAGCCATAAATTTCATTATAATGTAAATTTTATTGGTACTCTGATACCATATAGTAATCCCTAAAACGTGTCTAAACTTAGCCTGACATAAAAGCCTTTGGTTTTTCACTTACATATCTTTCTGGTCTGTTTCCGGTCTCCATGCTTTAGTTTAACGAGCCATCAGGGCATCTGAGGTGGCAGCCATGAACTGCAGGACTTGAACAAATCACGTTATCACTATGTATTCATGGGATTGCATTAGAATTTTCTGCTGTGCATATGTGTCTTGAAAAAGTGCGTTCAAGATACCTGTTGTTTTTATAATACAAACTACACACGAAAGAATTGACAGAAACTTTCTATGGGTTGGAATATACAAAAGAGGAAGAAAGTGAAACTTATAATTGCCCTGTATTTAATTATGTGTGTGGCGTGTGTTACATGCAATGTTTTGAATGTAGTACAGTTTATATTGTAATTCTACTATATATGGGCTTTTTCCAATTTTCTTTTAAAAGTTAACATACAGCAAAATTGACTTTTTGTTTTGGTTCACTGCTTTCAGCATATATATTATATTTCTATGATATGTAGATAATATATTATTTTATGCAATTGCTTTTTAAATCAGGAGAAAAAATATGCACGTATGCTCTTTATAATTCTATAGCTACCTTTTCTGATACTCATTTTTTTTGTGTGTGTGCACTCAAATTATTCTTTGGGGTCACTTGCTTTTAGCCCACAGAACTTCCTTTAGAATTTCTTCTAAGTCAGGACTGTTAAATTCTCTGTTTTTGTCTATCTGGGAGTTTTTATTTTGCATTCATTTTTGAAAGATAGTTTTGCTAAATGTAGAATTCTTCATTGATAGTTTTTCTCTTGAACACTTTGAATATGTTATCCCATTGCTTTCTGGCCTCCATTGTTTCTGCCTAGAAGTCAACTATTAATCTTATTGGGGTTTTCTTGTAAATAACAAATCCTTTTTCTTTTGCTGTTCTCAAGATTGTCTCCCTATCTTTTTCTTCAACATTTTTACTTTGATATGTGTGTTCGTGGATCTCTTTGCATTTATTCTGCTTGGGTATGTTGAGTTATTGAGTTTTTTGTTGAGTTATTCCTTGGATGTGTAAATTATTGTTTTTCAATAAATATGGTAAGTTCTCAGGCATTATTTCATTATTTCTGACTGTTTTATTCTGCTTCTTCTTGACTCCCATTGTGCATACGTTGGTGTGCCTAATGGTGTTTCTCATTTTTCTGAGGCTCTCTCTCTTTTTTTTTTTTTTTTTTACTTTTTTCCTCTCTGTTCTTCAGCTTCCATAATCTCTATTGCTTTAATTTCAAGTTCACTTATTATTTATTCTGCTACTTCAAATCTATTGTTCATTTTTTTAAAAAGATTTTATTTATTTATTTGACAAAGAGAGAGATAGGGAGAGCAGGAACACAAGCAGGGGGAGTGGGAGAGGGAGAAGCAGGCTTCCCGCCGAGCAAGGAGCCCGATGTGGGGCTCGATCCCAGGACCCTGGGATCATGACCTGAGCCATAGGCAGACACTAAACAACTGAGCCACCCAGGTGCCTCTGTTCATTTTCTTTAGTCAATTTCTCATTTTAGTTATTGTACTCTTCAACTCTAGAATTTTCATTTCATTTTTTTTTTAGCAATTTCTATTTCTTTTGATATTCTCTATTTGATGTAACATTGTCCTATACCTTTTGTTACTTCTTTCATCATGGTTTCCTTTGGTACTGTGAACTTGTTCGCATGGCTGTTTTGAAGTCTTTTCTGATAAATCCAACATCTGGTCATTCTGACAGGCAGTTTCTGTTGCTTGCTTTTTACCGTGGGTCATGCTTTCTTGTTTTGCATTCCTATGTATTTTTTGTGGAAACAGGACATTTTAGATAATGTAGCAACTCGGAGTATAAGTCTCCCAACACCCCAGCCCCCCAAAACTTGTTGTCGTTGTTGTTTTCTTATTTGTTTAATGACTGACTTTTTTTTTTTTAAAGATTTTATTTATTTGACAGAGAGAGAGCGAGCACAAGTAGGCAGAGAGGCAGGCAGAGGGAGAGGAAGAAGCAGGCTCCCCGCTGAGCAGGGAATCCGACGATGATGCTGAGCTTGATCCCAGGACCCTGGGATCATGACCCGAGCCCAAGGCAGCTGCTTAACCAACTGAACCACCCAGGCGCCCTCCGACTGATTGTTTTTAATGAAGCCTATTTACCCCTGATGGTGTTAAGTCTGTGATGTTGCTCCTCAGGGAGGCACGTACTTAAGTATCCCCATAGTCACTGTGGGATATCAGGGGTTTTGGTAGGACTCTCTTTCATGGACCATATCCAACTGTGCAATTCTGCTAACTGATGGCTGATTATTGTTTCCAGCAATGCTGTGGGACATAAGCTGCAAGCTAATCCAATCAAATTCTGGCACCCTTAAAGGTATAGTTTCGGAGGGCAATGTTTGATATTTGTTGTGACCTAAGAATGACTCCTCTTACATGTCTTATTTTCTGCTCCTCCCATGCAAACTAACTAGCCTACAGTTTAACCCGTGTCTTGACTCTACTCCCAATTGCTTTTTACTATAACTTCCACAGTTCTTGAGAGTCTCTCTAGGCTTGGACTTCTCCAGGCTCTGTTGCAAATGAATTCAGCTCCTTTGGGAACATACTGGGAATTATCTTTTCTATGGCTTGCTTCTTCCTCTGCCCCAAATCTCTGAACCAGGGGTCTGGAGTTGGAGGTAGAGACAATAGCAAACTTTTCTCTGAGTGGCTCTGCCAGTGTAGATGCTGAGTGCTTAGTGGACAGGGGAGTTCAGCAGCCTTAGGTCCTCTTGGCTTGCCTTTCCTGGTATGGAATCACTACCTCATGAGCCTGGTACAAGGCCCCTGGGGTAGGATAGAAGCTCATGCAAGGTAGAGCTTCCATTCCAAAAGCAGTGGCTGGGGGGCGCCTGGGTGGCTCAGTCGGTTAAGCGACTGCCTTCGGCTCAGGTCATGATCCTGGAGTCCCGGGATCGAGTCCCGCATCGGGCTCCCTGCTCGGCAGGGAGTCTGCTTCTCCCTCTGACCCTCCTCCCTCTCATGCTCTCTGTCTCTCATTCTCTCTCTTAAAATAAATAAAAAAAATCTTTAAAAACAAAACAAAACAAAAAACCAGTGGCTGGGTGGAGGAAGAGAGCCCACACCTCTCAGCCACATCCACCTAGGGCTTAGTCTCAGCAACAGAGAGCTGGTGGCAGGATGAGAAACATTGAAGTCCAATTCCTCCTGGACAGAAAGCCCTCTGGCTGGGAGCAGGGGCCATGGAGATCCCTGTGTTCTTAACTACAACAGTCTGGACTGGAGTCTCCACCTCACTGAACTGGGAGGGAGAAGGAGAGGGTGGTCTTGGTTTAAATACCATAAACTTTCACCTTCTTCACTGAATTTTCATAGATTTTCTAGAATAGATGTTTCTTTATTTGCTGTTTGTTCTTAGGACCATTTTCAGAGGCTTTAAATCATTGTATTTTGGTTCTGGTTTTCGTTGTTGTTGTTTTTACATGGTTGGGTTTCTTGTTTTGTTTTTTACAGTGTTTGCCTGTTTCACTGAGGGGGCTGGTATGCAGATCTCCTTGCACTGTTAGGCTAGAAGTCTTAACTCCTGGTCTACTGATTTTTGACAAGGGTAACAAGACAGTTCAGTGGAGGAAAAAATAGCCTTTTCAATGACTAGTGCTAGGGTAACTGGATATCCACATGTACAAGAATGAAGTTGGACCCTGCTTCATACCATATGCAAGAATTAATTCAAAATGAATTAAAAACCTAAACGTAAGAGCTGAACCTAAAACTCAGAAGACAACATCAGTGTATGTCTTCAAGATCTTGAATTTGGCAATGGTTTCTTAGCTATGATTCCCCTAAACACAATCAACAAAAGAAAAATTAAATAAATTGGACATCATCAAAATTAAAAACTTTTGTTCTCAAAGAATACCATCAAGTAAATGCAAAGACAAACATTTGCAAATCATATCTGATAAGGGACTTACATCGATAACATATAAAGAACTCTTACAACTCAATAATAAAAAGATAAATAACCCAATTTAAAATGGGTAAGGAGGGGCGCCTGGGTGGCTCAGTCGTTAAGCGTCTGCCTTCGGCTCAGGTCATGATCCCAGGGTCCTGGGATCAAGCCCCGCATCAGGCTCCCCGCTCTGCAGGAAGTCTGCTTCTTCCTCTCCCACTCCCCCTGCTTGTGTTCCCTTTCTCGCTGTGTCTCTCTCTGTCAAATAAATAAAATCTTTAAAATAAAATAAAATAAAATGGGTAAGGAGTGTGAATATACATTTCTCCCAAGCAGATATAAAAATGGCCATTAAGCCAGCATTATTAGACATCAGGGAAATGCAAATGAAAACCACAATTCCGGGCACCTGGGTGGCTCAGT